CAAAACTTTCGAAACAAGAAGCAACCGTTTTTCCTAAAGTTCAAACTGTTCTGAATCAAGTTTTTGTTAAGAAAGGACTGAACAAAAATGATACTTCTAATTTAACGTCCTTGGTAGCTGATGATAATGCGAAAGGGTGTGTTTAATTCTTCTGGTCAAAGCCGATAGACAATGCGGATGAAAGAAAAGGTCTCTCAGAAATGACCTCTTGGAAAACAAAAGGGAAATACATTTCAGAACCATTGAATTGTGTGGACTTTTTTTACGATAATGCAGGACCAAGTGGTAATAAAGACGTTTCTAGTGGAACTTCTTCAGAAAGAAATGAAACACCAATCAGAAAGGAAAAACCAAAAGCTAACATTCACAAATCTACTAAGGAATTAACCGCAAAGAAAAGACAGTTGGATGCTAAATATAGAAACAATTTGAGTGAAAGAAAGTGTTTTTGGAAGAAAATGAATTCCAATCAAAGTTCTGTTAAGACGTTCAAGATTTTCTTATCAAAATAAATATTTATCTCAAATTCAGAAACAAAAGTCAAGTTGTTCTTCCAACCAAAGTTGTTCACCAAAATCAAACCTTTCAAAACCGATTGCTAAAGCAATAGATGTTAAGGGTAAAACAAAGTTGCTTCGAAACCAGAAATTACTCTCAAAGAGTACGAAGCAAAATTGAAAAAGGAAGAAAAAGAATTTTCAAAAAGGATGGCTCCAAAATTCAAAGAATATTTTCAACGTAAAACTAATTTTGTTGAAATTAATCTTTATGACAACAAATTTCAAGTTCTTAAAATGGATAGAGGGATGAGTAGTACTTTGACAATAAATTCCTTTTGGGTTGAGAAAACAAAATTTTTTCCTGTCTAAAAGAAATCCTCACAAGGACCCAAGTTGGTTTGGGTTTGTAAAATTCTCTAAATTTTGCAGGTTATGCATGACGAACAATATGATTCAGAATGGTACATCGATAGCGGTTGTTCTGGTCACATGATAGGAAGGAAAGAGGAGTTAAGAGAGTTTCAGACTTTAAACGATGGCGGAAAAGTAAAGTATGGAAACAATGTCACTGGAGAAATAAAGGGATACATCATAATCACAAATGGAGAATTCTCAATTTAGAAGGTAGCTTATGTTGAGGGCTTGGAACACAACCTAATTAGTGTTTCTCAATTGGTTGTATGTATTTGTATAAAATTGTCTTTTGATGAAGAAGGTTCAGAAATCATAGAAAAGAAATCTAAAGTTGTTCTTATGAATTCAAGAACGAAATGAGAGATGTATCCTCTGAATCTAAATCCGATCCAAGGAAAACCCTCTATCTGCTTACTTACGAAATCCTCATTGGACGATAGTTGGTTATGGCACATAAGACTTTCTCATCTGAATTTCAAGGATATCAACAAGCTCGTAACTGGTGATCTCGTACACGGACTACCTCTTCTGAAATTTGAAAAGGAACACTTATGCGTTGCTTTTGAGCTCAAAAAACAAATTAGAAAGAGTCATTCATCTATTATCAATACCAAAATCATTGAGCCACTAGAACTATTGCACATTGATTTATGTGGTCCTTTTGCCATCGAAAGCATTGGTGGTAACAAATATATTTTGGTTATTGTTGATAATTTTTCTAGATTCATTTGGGTATTCTTTCTTAGACAGAAATCTGGCGCAACTTTGAAGCTGGCCAATTTCATGAAGCAGGTGGAGCTACAACTACGAAAGCCAGTTTGGAAAATTCGTAGTGATAATGGCTCGACATTCAAAAATCATACATTTGAAGATTTCCTGACCGACAAAGGGATTTCTCACAATTCCTCTTCTCCTTACACTCCACAGCAGAAAGGTGTAGTTGAAAGACGAAATTGCTCTCTTTTTTAAGATGTAAGGACTATGATATCATTTGCGAATCTTCCTTTGTATTTCTGGGCAGATGCTATTGCCACCGCTTGTTTCACTCATAACCGCTCCTACATCAACAAACATTTTCTGATTACTCCATATGAAATTCTTAACAGTCAGAAACCAAACGTTAAATTCTTTCATGTATTTGCTTCCAGGCGCTTCTTACTCAATTCCAAAGAAAACTGAAATAAATTCGATGTGAAATCAGGCAAATGAATCTTTTTTAGGTATTCCTTAACATCAAAATCTTATCGAGTTTTGAACAAGAAGTCAAAGAAGATTGAGGAAACCTACTATGTTACGTTTGATGACAATTACATGAAGAAATATCAAAAAGAAGATTGTCAAAATAAGGAAAATTTTCCATCAACAAATTCTAAGACTATTCCTTTTATGAATTTATATGAGGATTTTCTAAATTTGTTTGATGAACCTAACAAGGTAATTTCCTCAGAATCAAAAGCGAAACAGAATCAAGAGGATGAATTGATCAAGATTGTTGACAAAGTTGCTAAAGATATAGAGATTCCTCTTAAGCAACCAATTCCAAATGCACCTCAACTAAAATCTTTTGATGCTCCAATCCATGGTTAGAGTTCCGCTCCCTTCAATACCAATATTCCTCTCAAGGGGGAGAATCCAATTCTAAATACCGGGTCACATGCAAGCTTCCAGGGGGAGAATAATGAGAAGAATGACTCGGATGCATGATCGGAATTTGAAGAAGTTTTTGCAAAATTCATCCAGCCTATGATTAGGACTATCCTCCAATGACAAAATGTACCAAAGAGCATCCTTCATCTCAAGTGATAGGAGACTCTTCATTAGGAGTTCTTACACGCGCTCAACAAAAAGAAAAGCACACTGCATTATTTTCTAGAATGGAATTTTGCATGTTTAATTCTTTTATTTTGAAAATTGAGCCTAAAATTGTTAAAGTTGTTATTGATCATGCAGATTGGGTTCAAGCTATGCAGGAAGAACTGAATGAGTTTGATCGCAACAAAGTATGGCGATTGGTTCCTACTTGATGAGACAAAGAATCAAATGTTGATTGAATTAGAATGTAAATTCAAAGTAAGATTGAAAGATTTAAACACCGATGTAAATATGATCTGTTTGGCTCTATTACGCTTTATCAGTTTTACAGAGTACAAGTTAAAGTTCTGTAAAGACTTCGTTACTAAGACACTAGTAACAACTCCTATTTATAGGAGATGAAAGCGTACAAAAAATATACTAAGGACTAAACATGAAGCTTCGAATATTATGCCCTAGTAAAATACATTACAAAAATGTTCAAAGATACTAAAGACAGATTTTGACTCATTACAACATTTTTACTCTTAAAATCTCCCCTTTTGTAATCAAAGTCGAAGTTTTCAGTTTGTGAGAAGTGTAATGGAGTATAGAAAAACTCTTCGAACCTCAGTATACCAAGAAATAATTTTCTTCAACTCCTTGTTGTCTCCTTCGTTGTTCTTCTTGCAGTGGTTCATACGAACAATCAAGTTCATATATTAAGATGTCAAATATCTCTCCACTTCGCTAGCTTGGAATAAAAACCTCTTTGCTTTTCCAGCTTTATCCTTTCCAGCAAAAACTATCCCAAATGGCTTAAGAAAAATTTCTCCATCAATATATTTCTTTAACTCAGCTTGTGTCTTTGAAGGAGCCATTGGAGCATTTATCTCCATTCCCTTGGCAGTTGCCAACTCCACATAAGTTAGAGCTAGACACTTGTAATAATTCTCTATGAAGATCTTGATGTGAGACACTCCAAGTTTGAATTCCTCTGGATCTGTGTTTTGAAGAAAAGAAAAATATTTGTCTTTCAAAAGCAATGCAACTTGTATAAGGTCATACAAGTTCATCAGAGGAAAATCTGTAATTGTAAATTCGCATGTTTTTCCATTCGTCCTTGGAACCACATACTTGATGTTTTGGACTGTGTTTTCAAAAAACACATCCTTTTTCATACTTATCACCTTCTTGATCTTGACCAGAGACCAAACATCCTCAGGCTCTTTACCAAGTACCGCATGAAAATGAATTTTCATATGAGGTCCTTCATCTTTTTCTTTAAAATTCCCTTCAACTTTGAATTGAGGCATGATAAACATCATCTGATTTATAGGGAAATCCAATTGGCAGGCATCAGAATTTGTGATCACATAACTTTTCTTGGGCTTCTTTTCGAATGTATACATGTGATTGAAAGCAACCTTGGCTTAGATTGTTTCATAGTTATAGTGTTTTGCCGGATCACCTTTATTTATCCCCTCCGGATCATTTTCCCTCTGAGCCATTTTACTTCGAACAATTCGCAACTTTTCAATCTCAGCTTCAGCCTCAACCTTATTTTCTTCTTTAGATTTTTCTATAAGAATTGATTTTCCTTTGTCTGTAGATACCTCCTTTGGCTTTGACGCACTTCCCCCAGATTCCAAAGTTTTACCAATTACAATTCCTTTCAAAATTGTTCTTGTAATTGGCAATGTTGTTACGATTGTTGAGGTCACTGGTTCAGCAGACACTATTACTGGTTTTGTTGAAGGGATTTTTGAAGAGAATACCTTGCCCACCACTTTTGATTCTTCTTCTATTGACTTCCTTTCTCCCCCTTGCACCCCTGTGAAAACAAGAGGGGCAGTAGTTTAGGGAAGAAGACTGGATATGCGAAAGAGTGGAGAAAGTTGCTTGTTAAGTATGGTTCAAACTGCACAAACTTCTGAGATAAAAATTCTGGAGTATTCAAAGGAGACGAAACAGGTTTCGTTGAGATCTCATTTAATTCCTTGAGCAACTTCATCACTCCTTTGAAATTTTCACTTTCAGATTTGCAGAGTTGATTTATTTGAGGACTCAAATCTTCAAATAGCTTGACAAAATGAGTTACAACATCACAAATGATATCGACCTTTTGATGCAAGGACGCATAATCATACTGAACAGAAAAATTTCCTTTTTCATATCTTCACGAAGTTCGTGAATTTGTGAGTTAACATCCTCCTTCACTTTCTTCACCTCCTGAACAAAAAGACATGACATTCTTTTGTTGTGGTTTTCAGATCTTTAACTTCTCCTATAAAATCAGATCTGAGAGATTTAACACGAAGCTCAGAATTCTGATCTGTGTAATCAACCTTCTCTATAATAGCAGAGTCTGAGGCTTTCAACATTCCAGAAACCTTGTTGATTATTCTTGATTTGAACATCTTGAGCATGGAATCAACCTCCAAACTGGAAATAGATGAACTTCCTCCAAGATCAGCTTGGGATTGAGTGATGGATTTCAACTTTTGATTAAGAATCTTGTATTGCTTCATTGTCATCAACATGTGATCAGGAAATTCTTCTTCATCTTCATTGAATTCTAGATGTTCGAACGTACCTCCAATCCCTTCATTATTAGTGGCAGTCGGTGAAGATGGTTTGGGTGTATCAGTGGATTGAGAAGGAAAAATGGAAGTGAATGGTTGATTGAGGATATGTTCGAAGGTTGGTGAAACAGTGGTTGATGTGAGAGGAATTGTAGATGTTGGTGTTAAGATAATTGGACCTTGAGCGGCATCTTTCGAACCTCCTTCACCCATGTTGACATTTGCATCCGTATCAGATATGTGTGCAAGGATGCCTGAAGTTCGAACCTCCTCAAAAATTGACTTGGCAATCGAAACTTCGGGTGTTTTGATAACATTCGTCTCAGGAATGGAACTTGTAACAATAGGAGTGAACTCTGGAGTTTCTGGGATTCGTTCATCTTCATCTGTAGACTTAGTAGATAAAACAAGCTTGCGAGTCTTCTTCAACTTCTTCTTCTTCAGTTGTGACAAGTGTTTTGCTATATCTTCTGCTAATCGTTTCTTGGACCCGGGAGAAATAGGAGCAGGTACATCACAAATTAAAACCCCTTGGTGAGTAATTTGAGGTTTGCGAACCAACTTATGTGATGATGAATTTCGTTTGTGAGTAGACTTCATCTTGATTCTTTGAACCATCCCAATTTTGAAGGAATAATAACATTCTCTTGAGTTTCATCCACCATTGGCTCAATCACATTTGTTTCATCAATTGTCACTTCAACATTTTCAGTTTGCTTCTTTGAAGACTTAGAGGTTTTCAACCCTTTTTTCTTTGGTTTGCGTGAAGTAGGAACAACCTTCTTTGACTTTTTCGATTTCTTTTCTTCCCGTGGCAACAAAATTCCCATTGGAATTGATGAATCGATTGTTTCCAGATAGGTAACCAAAACAGGATTCTTAGGATCCACCCTGTTAAGCATCGCGTCTGGAATCCGAGCAACTTGTGGAAATTCATCGGCATCATCAACAACCTCCTTCGGAAAGTTATAATCGTGAAAAGTAGCCTTCTCTTCTTCATTTGAAACCAAGAACACTAAATGTTGCAGAATAAGGCTCCAATACCGAGCACAAGAAATGCCATGAATAGCATTCGTATGTTCTACTCCTTTTTGAAATTCCTTCCATAACTTTGTAGAATAATCTGCTGGAAGATCATAGTATAATCCTACCACCATGGCGTAAACCTCTATCCGTTCTTTGTCTAACCCAACTGTTCTTCCGGTTAAACAACGTAGAAAGATCCCAAACAAGAAATTCCATAGTTTTGGAAGTCCAGATTTCTTAAAATCTCTTATTTTTGACAATGGGGGCTGATGTCCCATTTCATTAAACATATGAATAATTTGTGGAAATTGGAATTCTGCAAAAGGAGGGGTATTCGGAATCTCAAGAATCTGGAAAAATAGTTTCTTGGAAAGCCTAACCTTTTTGTCATTAATCAGGAGGAAAGTAATAGAATCAGAGTGTTTATTATATGTTGCATTAGATCCTTCTTGAGAAAGCCAGGATATCGGAACAGAAAAGGAATTGAACATGGCTTTGGATAAAACGAAGTGTTTTAAAGCAACAATAAGCATCTTGAATTCCTCTGGACATTGAGAAAGTTCACCATTGACATAATAATTTGTAGATTGAATCTTCATTACTGAAGGAGAAGAAATATCTTCTGTTGAAGGATGCACGTGAGCAGCAGTTGCCATTGTTAGGGTTTGAAGAAGATGAAGAACAGAGAATTTGGAAATGTTTGAGTTTGATCGCGTAAACATAGAAAGTACTCTTGAACCCCCTTTTATAAGTAACCCTGAATGATTTGAATTTGAAGCGAGATGCATTTAATGATATCCGATGTGGCACCTTGAAAATCAGACCATTACTGCGAAAAGGTAGCCATGCATCAAAAAGTAACTGTCACTTCTCCTAGAAAACCGGACATAATACCATAAGTCATGGATAAACAGCCTGACATTATTCCCCCAAGAGAATTGTAACCATCAGAACCCTTCGAATGGAAGCAAGGCTCTTTCACTTTTGGGATTAAAAGCGAAGTCATATGCCAGATGTTCAAAATCATCAGCCTGAGTTGGTATTACTCAGAACCTCAAGGATTTCGTGTGTGCAGTGTTCCAAATAAAGTTAGACAAGAAACAATTTTTTTTTTGGAATGTAGTGATGTCAACAATGCAATTTGACACGAAGGCAGTTAAACCCCAGGCAAAGGTTGATTCGTTAATCATCAAGAGAGATGATCAACAGCTTGTGTACGTTCCCGTGAAATACAATTGAATACTTTTTAATAAGTATCAAAGGGCTTCTTTTGAAAATTGTTCGTGGGTAGGTTCAAAATTTCGTTACATGTCAACCTAAACATAAGGTGATAAAGTGTAACATAAATTACTTGTTTGACCAGTGTAGTCAGTGACAAGTTGGCTTTGAAAATTTTTAACATAACTGGGACATTCGAATGAAACTCACACTGAAATCATATTAAAAAAAAATTTGTGTAATGGATCTTGTTGGGTAACAAACATCGTGAGTTTCAAATGTTTGATCAAGACCACTCATTCGAAATGAATATGATTTGGATTTTTGAACCTTGGTACAGAAACAAAAGTTTAGTATATATCTGGAACAATGTTCCCCATCAATTCCTTAATTTGCAAGATGTTTGGGTTTCACTTTCATCATGGACTCATGATGTCAGATCATAAACACAAAGTTGTTATATATCTAAGTCTCGATGGGTTTGATCAGAGACCTCTCGGACATATGTCTTAGTGTGTGATCGTGTAATAATTTTATGGATGAAAAAGATTAGTAAAAGACACGAAAAGTACCTATGTTAATTTTTGGACCAAACAGAAAACTATTTACTCAGTTTGAGAAGAGTAAGGTAGCTCAGAGACTAATGTGAATATAAGCCTGATTGGGAAGAAATTTTCGTATGAAAAATTTCATTAAGGCTTTCATACAGACACATTGAGTCATGGAGGCTTTGGACAACACTCAACTGCATGCTTCTAGGGACATCCTAACTAGTTCGAATAATGAAAAACATATCATACGTACTTTTTTTTACCTGACCCTTATACTGCTTGCATTGTCCCCTCTGAATCATCATCATAATCTGCAATAAAATTCTAAAAAGAAGTAAAAATATTTTTGTTGTTTTTCAAAATTTTCGAAAATAAAAACATAACAAAATAAAATCTTTTTGGATTTTTGATTTTTCGAAAACTAAAAAAAAACAAAACAAAAGAAAATCTTTTTGGATTTTTGATTTTTCAAAAAATTGAAGGACAAAAAAAAATCTTTTTGGATTTTTGAGTTTTCAAAAAAAATTGACAAGGAGACGGAATTTGTTGCAAACAAACGAATGTTTGTCATTTCCTTAAGAGTAACAAATATACAAATTCGAAGCATTCAAAGCGTTGACTATAAACAGTAACCACTACCTCAATGCTGAAAATAAGTAACAAACGTATGAATTCGAAGCGGTCAAAGCGTTGACCATGAACAGTAACCGCTGAATGCTAAATGACTTTGCTTTATGTTTTATACAACCCTCTTATTCATTCTTTGTCACCCATCGGTCTTCTTTTTCGCATGGAACAAAATTTCCATCGATCATTCCAAGCCCTTCTATTATTCTCACAAATGACTTTTCATCCAAGGGTTTCGTGAAAATATCAGCTAATTGATCAGTTGTTTTCACGAGATGTACTTCAATGTTCCCATGCTCCACATGATCTTTAATAAAATGATAACGAAGAGTTATGTGCGTAGTCTTCGAATGTTGCACAGGATTATGACAAATTCTTATTGTACTTTGAGAATCACAATATAATGGAATCTTTTTCATATTAATTGCACAATCACCTGATTGACTTTGGATCCATATTATTTGCGAAGTGCAAGCAACAACAACCACATATTCTGCTTCAGTTCTGGAAATCGACACACACGTTTTCTTTTTCGACTGCCAACTAACTAATTTACCATCAAGAAATTGACATCCTCCACTTGTGCTTTTTCGATCAAGATTGCAATCACCCAAGTCTGCATCTGAGTATGCTTGAACGAAGAATCCAGTTTTTGAAGGATACCACAATCCTAACAAAATTGTTCCTTTAAGATAACGAAAAATATTCTTCACAACAATTAGATGTGGTTCGTGTGGATTAGATTGATACCTTGCACAATTACACACAGAAAACATGATATCAGGTCTACTTGCTGTAAGATAAAGTAATGAACCAATCATACTCCTATACAACGTTATATCAACAACAGGTTTGTCTAAAGATGGTGTTAGCTTTATGCCCGTTGCCATTGGTACACGAAGCTTTGTGCTATTCTTCAATCCAAACTTTTCTAGCAGATTTTTTGTATATTTTTCTTGATTAATGAAAATCCCTTCTCTGTTTTGACGAACATTCAAGCCAAGAAAATTATTGATTTTTCCCATCATGCTCATTCCAAACTTGCTTTTCATCAAATCTTCGAATTCTCTGGACAAAGCAGGGTCGGTCGAGCCAAAAATAATATCATCAACATAAATTTGAACAAGCATAAGATGATTCCCCACTTTCTTTCGAAATAAAGTGGGATCAACAGATGCTTGTTTAAATTTAGATTGTTTCAAAAATGATGTAAGAGTTGCATACCATGATCGTGGTGCTTGTTTTAAATCATAAACTGCCTTATCTAAAACATAAACATGATTAGGATATTCTTCATTAATAAAACCTAGAGGTTGTTCAACATAAACAGTTTCTTCAAGCTCTCCATTTAAAAATGCACACTTCACATCCATTTGATAAACATCAAAATCTTTGTGAGCTGCATAAGCCAGAAATATTCGAACCACCTCGAGTCTTGCAACAGGGGAAAAAGTTTCTTCATAGTCTATTGCTTCTTGTTGTGAATATCCTTTTACAACAAGTTTGGCTTTGTTTCGAACAATGTTTCCATCTTTGTCGGTTTTATTTTTAAAAATCCATTTTAACACGACAATCGAAATATTTTCAGGTTTAGGAATTAATCTCCAAACTTTGTTTTGTTTAAATTCCGACAATTCAGATTGCATTGAAACAACCCAATCTGAGTGTTCCATTGCATTCTTAACTGTTTTTGGTTCAATTTTAGATATGAAAACATTAAACATGCAAAATTGTTGATGAGTATTCAATACCTCATTCTTTGCACGGATTTGAGCTCTTGTCATAACTCCGTCTTGTGGATTCCCAATTACTTGATCCTTCAGATGATCTCTTGTCAATTTTTCCATTGGTGGATATGCTGGATCAAATTCCAAAGGTACATCTTTGTATACTTCATCATTTTATGAGTCTGCATTCGAATAAGCATCATCAACATTATGCTCCCCCTCAACAACATACTCCCCTTGAACTTCAACATTCATTTGATTTGTCTCCCCCTTGAAAGAATGCTCTTCATCATTTAAAGTATTCGAAGCCAATTACTCCCCCTCCACTGGACTGTTTTGCATACTTTGGCTTTGTTGTGAAGTTGATGTGGATTCATCAGTTAACTTTGCAAGTTATGGTATTTGATTATCAGGAGCATGAACTTCAGCATCAACTGCATGATCTGAAATA